GACATGCCACCCTAATGTCTCCTGGTCATTTTCATGAAGATTCTGAACCGGCAGATATTGCAAATCAATTAGCGGAGTGCCTCCTGCCAAACAATTATTTGTGCGGACACTCCGCAAAATATGATGGAACTCACTGCTTTTGCGGCCTAAATTATGCAAGCAAGAAGAAAAGGTGCGTCTTGGTTTTGTTGGGTATGACGTTCATTCGTATCTCCATGGCCTGACTTTTTAATGAGTGTTGACTGAGTTTGAAGAGATCAAATCTTTGATTTACATGGAGTTGCAAAACTAATGGATATTCTACCTAGACTCTTACTGTGCAAAAAACTCTTTCTAGTTACTCTGAGACAATTCGGACAGATACCTACAAACTCTTTCTAGTTACTCTGGGACAATTAGGACAGATACCTACAAAACTATAACACAACTACAATATGTATCAGGACTGTGTGGGTCTAATAGCTCTAATTTCTATTCCAATTTCTAGTCATATGCCATGCATGTTTAGTCAATGGCCAGCCTATCAAGATGATTTCACTTAAATTTAATGATGCTATTATATACATAATAAACATAAGAGAAAGTATAGAACGAGACCATTTACCTTTCATACAAAGTGTCACATTAATTTTAACCACTGGATGTGAAATTAGGTGGCTGCAATTTGTCCATTGACCATGCTCAAACTTAAAAACAAAATTTCTCGTACTTTATATCGCATCAAATGGTTGTAAAGAATTGTGACCACCTTGTAGCAAAGGTAAATAGTCTCATTGTATACAATCCTAAACATAAATAAATGCATAATTATAGGTGTATAATCCTGCGCCAAAATCAACCAGGAAGCAAATAATGGATTCCACACACTCAGTTCCAGCTCAAACTTACATAACAAGAGTTTACATATACGCACTAGCACAAGTTTTGATGCACTATCCCAAAATGACCTATTGGCTTGATTATTTGTCCTAAAGAGGCTTATGGTACCACAACAACAACCAATAACATGAAAAACATTGTTTCATCGAAGATGAGTGGATGATGATTTCTTGCCTAAACGAACTAACCAAAAAAGTTACCAACGTACCATCATACTAAAGAGAACCACAATAATGGTAGTGGTGATCATTGTAGCATGAACAGGATCCCATGTGACCCCAGAATAGGTGAACTACAAAAACGGCAGATAGATACATGAATAAAAACAAAAGTATAAAGGAAATATACAAACTGTGTCAAAAGAATATTAAAATCCTGATGTCTCTGCAATTATATAGAACATCATGCACCTGGTTGAAGGCTAAAGCGATGGAGACCGCTCCTCTCATCAAACCAGCCCACCAAATCACCACCTGAAAATACACAAAAAGATTCCACAACAGTTAAGTCTCAAAAAACAAATCCTCATCCTCATTTTAAATGTAACGAATTAATGAATGCGTTTTTGTCTAAGATATTCAAGATCACCATAGAGAAGAAGAAATATTCAGAGCCAGCTTAAATTCTACAGGCAGATGCTTCCAGCCAATAAAAACAACTCCATTGAAATTTTTCATGTCTCATATGACATATTAAACAAAAATAAAAATGCCAAAATTGCACACCTCAATACTTCTGGACTGCAGGCATCCAAAAGGTCAAATATAGTGTTCCAAAAAACGACCCGCGCCGCCTAGGTGCCCAGAGGGGTCTAGGCCACCCAGAGCCTAGGCGACTGCCTAGGTTCAAAAGGGGACAAGGGATGTCTAGTTCAAATGGGGGCAAGGGGCCTCTAGTAATCCTATTTTAGGTTCAGATTTTGTACAAAAAATGCATATTCATGCATTTTTTTAAACCAAACAAAAAAAACATCAAAAATACCCCACCCAATGGTTATTTTTGCACCGAGGCAGGTGCAGTTCCCTTGGAGCCCACCGCGAGGTACTAGGCCCCTACCCGGGCACCCAGGGACAACTGCCTAGTTGGTCTGCGCCCAAGCCCCCTAGCACGCCTAAGCACTGGGCGGACCACTTTTGAATCAATGGTCAAATATTATTTTTACTTGCATCTTTGGAACATCAATTGCCATCTTACTTACGAAGGCTTTGAGCCTTGTTGGACTTGTTTGTGAGTTCACACCACTGAGATCTATATTGATCTTGTATTTCAGATTGTAATGTTTTAATTAGTTTGAGAATAGTTTTGCCATATTATCGCACAAGGTTATTTATGTACTTCGCACAACCCAGCAATCTATCTATATAGGACTGATCCATGATTCTAAAAATAAGAATTCCCTCCAAGTTCCTGATTTTAACATAGCATTAAAGCTAAACTTAAATCAAAAACCTCATTCAATTTGAATCTATAGAGAAAATCACTACATTATGCAAAAATTGGTTAACGCTCCTTAAGGAATCAGTCTTTAAGTTTGGACCTACAATCTGAATCTGTTCAGTTGTACTGCAGTAGTACTTGAGCAATCATTATAGCAGATCACTGTGGCAGTAGTGTAGTGATCACTGTACAAGTCCGTACACGTGATGGTGTGTTTCCATATAATCACTCGAACTCTCAAATTTCTTTAGGAATTTTCTTCTCTAGTTCTTCCAATTCCATTCTATGTATTGGAGGGGTTTGAATCAAAGAAGTTTCGCGTGTATATAAGGTTTCAAGAGGTTTTTGGATTTCTCTCAGGTCTGTTAATAGAAATCTATTTTTCAATTGTTTTGGGGTTTCACCACGATCAATCCAATATCATAAGTTCTTTAATAGAAAACTCATTTTAAACTCAGGCATAGCGACCTCATATGTAATGTCCAATGGATCTCTTTCTATGGAAGCACCTCAATAAGTTCTTCAAGCACATTCAGGCTTCATTGTCAGTTATACCTAGTGTACAATCCAATTTTCTCAACTGTCTTGGAACCTGCCTCAGGTGCAACGAGTCATACGACTGGATTACAGAAGTACCATCTTCTCAGTTCCCTTCAAAGGAAATAACAATTTGTGGTTTTTTAATAAACAGCCGAAGCTACTTGTTGCGTTATGTCTGTTGCCTCTGATGGACTTCTATAGACTCATTCTTCTCTTTGATTTAGGTATCCTAAATCAGGCAATCAAGTTTGCCACCAATCCCCTGAATTCTATGATCAAACCAATCATAATGAGGTGGAACATCACTCCATTCAAGAAAGATTTGCTCGTGACATTCTTACTCACCCTTACATCTTCTGGAGATCAGCTCATTGACTTATTTACAAGGCTCTTACTAAATAGTGGCATGATTATCTTGCGAGCCAATTCTTGCTCATTTCTACGGGTGCGCCAATTCGCACCCAGGGGGGCGCTTATTGAATGTTAAATGCATATTAGTCTTTTGCGTAGATGCAGAGAGCTTGGTTGAGGGCTGGTGATTTTCACCTTGGAATCTCACTATGGCAATCTTAGAGCTGAAGCTGGAGCCCAAGAAGAGGTCCCTTCCCCATCAAGGGTTCTCGTTTCAAAAAAATTTAAATTTTCAACCTAGTGTCTTTGATTTTGACAAGATATTTTGCTTTCTGATGACTTTCTAGCTAATGCCACATGTAGACTAGTTTTTCCTTTCTCATAGTCATGGTTTGCATCGTTGGTTGAAAACCAGCATGGCCTACAATCTGGTTTAAAACCAGCGAGCCAACCTGGAATTGCCAGAGTCGGGCTCAAACCAAGGGGTACTTGGTCCTGGATGGTCCCAAGCCAATCGAGGAATCACCCTGTTTCTCCAAAACCAGATTGTTCATGGTAGTGAATCCCTCGGTTCACAGTTGGGACATGAGCATTTCCCAAATTCAGTTCTTAGCATGGCCTACAATCTCATTTTTCTCAATTTTTAAAAGGAATTTCATACTATAAAATTCTCATTGTGCATTTGTTTAGATAATACTAAAATGTTGGTCATATTTCCAATTTTTTAGATATCAATTATATATATATATATATATATATATATAGGGTGTAGTTTGCATAAAGTTGCAACCTTAAACAATCCAATCAAGACACACCTATAAATTTTATCATAAATGTAATTTTGATATAAAAATTTCTTAGGATGGCTTGAGAATTTATTTTCATATCTAATTATAAAATTTTAAAGCCTAAAAATGGTTCAAATCAAGTAGATCTATGAACATCTGAAAACTTTGAAATGGACGGTCCAGATAATGTGTTGCAAAATACACTATTTCGCGGACTCAAAATCTTTTTTTCTTTTCATATTCATACATTTTGATATCAAGATGATCAATTAGAGGTTTTCCAACATCCAAACAACCTTTTATGATGGATTTTTGAGATGCATCTTTAATTCTACATTTTAAAGTTGCGTCCTTCTATAAACTTTTTCCATATGTATATATATATATAGGGCAATGATTCAATGCAACCATTGTATAGTAATATGATGCAACAATCTTAAAAAACCATCTTATGGTCAGTTGTTTGATCCAAAATTTGAAACATGCACTCTTTTCATTCTCATGAACAATCACAAAAAAAAAAAAAACTTGAAAACATAACCGAAAAAGTATTTTTTTAGCCCAATTAACTTTGGCCGTTCATTTTTGTAAGATGTTTAGATCTAGGTCTTAGAAGGATTTTTTCGTTTTCAATTTTTTTGGATGGCTTCATTATCATTAGATGAACAATGTTAAAAAAGAAAAAAATGATTTTGAGTTTATAAAGGCTAAGATCATGAAATTCACAAAGTGAATGGTCTAGATTCGTTTTTGGAGAGGACTCATTTGGACCATATCTAGGGTTCAAATATTTTTGGGGGATTGATTATTCAGATGAAGAGAGGGTGTGTGCAAAATTTGGGGTCATACAAATACCACAAACATGGTTTTCTAGAAG